TAAGGTAATAAGACAGGGTAAAAAAGTAATTGAGGGGCTCGGAGGACAAGGCACATGAGTGCAGATTTCGAAAAAACTGAAACATTACTTAGTGGTTCCAACTAATTCTAGGTTTAAAATAAAGTCTGTGAAAAATTCACCGGAAGCATCCAATGCTTAAGCATCAAAATGTGAGTTTGAACTCTCTTTCTGCCATAAGGCTGTGTATAATAGTTAGCAACTTTAAACATGTTTTTCTCGAAATAGCTCGACGAGGTGCACTTTTGCACCTCGTCTGCCAAGCTGTTTAATTGAGAGTATAAGTGTTAAAACGTAATTTTTTCAATATCGTCGAATATTTAATTGACACAGATTAAGAAATACAAAGTCGAGTAATGAAATAAACTATATACTAATTTTTTACTCGGTCTATTGGAAGTTAAATAATATTAAATAATGTGCGATATGATGTCGCATAATTGGCTGACAAGATGCCGAGGGCAGTAAAATTTTAATGTTTCAATTATTTTCCTTCTTATTTACTTAGATTTCACCATTTCACACGAGCCTGCGGTACGTCACGTAAAGCATAGGTGCATACCCCTCTCTTCTGTTGACAACCCCGCCCCCCGCTGACATCTGTACTTTCGTTATAATCCTTGTTCGCGCTTACGCTAGAGTTGGCCGCCCAAAAGTTCCAAACCTTCAACGGTGTATTGAATTTATCATAATAATTATTAGTTTCGCTATTGATTCCTCTGACGCAAAAAGACCCGCTCCCCGAGCTGCCGCCATTACACAGCCCAATCCCTCACGTAAAGCGCTTCGCGGCGGCGGCTGTACTCGCATTGTAACTTCCCTCATATGTGAGATGTCCCACTCCGCAATATTTTTAAAAACCCTTAAATGTACAGATTTCGCCAAGCTCTGTCCTATTCGTTTATTTTTACGTGAGTGTATGCATAAATACGATGAAATTCGTCTTCACTTTGTATGCGTGAAGTATCTGTTACTTCCGTACTGGCGGTCATAATATATCCATTTGCGCTCTTCGTAGAAAGCAGGGAGGAGGAGGTGGGTCAGTCTCCCCTCCTATTATTTATTTTATATTACGTTAATTAATTTTTGCTCTCCAGGAATTATTTAAATAACTTCCCACGATTGATGGAATATTTGCTGTATTGATATGACCTTTTGAGGGATGGTGTTTTGCATAGAAACTCAACTTTCTGTAAATATTGCCATTTTGTACAATTTTAAATAAAGCCGTGACAAACCCAAAAATTATGGAAATTTTTGAAACAAGGTACCCTATCTTATTGTAAATTTTATGTACTTTCACGTGGTTATAGTGGTTTTTTGATCAAACACTTTTAAAATGCTTAAAAATTAGGAAAATGGAGCTAAAAACGGACTTTTTTCAGAAAAGTGTCATTTTTGATCCCAGAAGAAATTATCCTACCGGCAATTATAATTACTTATAAGGATGTTGAACATACTTTCCTAGATCAAAATTTGAAGTACTTTTCAGTCACATCATTCATTTTAACATTGAAGCTCATTTTAAAGCAATAAAATCTCAAAAATAACAAAAAAGTTAAATTTCATCGTTTTTTTCTTAACTTTTTTTAAACCAAAATTCAGTGCTCAGACCCCTCAAAAAGGTTTTACGGCAAGTTTTAATAGCCCTACGTTATGGAAAATTTTATGAACTTTTCATTTCGCACCTTGTTTTTTTTCTTAAACGCCTTTTAACACGTAAAAAGTAAGAAAAACCGCGGGAAAATTTTTTTCGGACAAATTCCAATTTTTTTCAACATTGCCTCCGCATTTTCACGAGAGACGCCAAAAATACAAATGAAGGTATATTTCTTACACAAAATTTTACTAGCTTTTCGATGATTACCATGGTTTGATTGAAAAAATTGTTTGCAGCCATGAAAAACCACAAAAACATGAGACAAAGCCTTGTTATTGAACAATTTGTAAATTTTTCACGTCTCAAAAATTGGCTTCTAAGTACACTTAAATACCTTCAAAAATTCATTAATTAACATTGTTTTAACTTTTATGTGCTATTACATTGGTACCATAAAATTTACTTCAAACAAAAATGACTAAACTTAAAAATTTTGGGTATATGTTAAGAAAAAGGTTCTAAACAGAGCAGCCGCGTTTTCCAATAGACAACTTTAACGCCTTATCTAACTCTCTTTAAAAAATTCGAAACAGTAATTTCAGGTAAGCAATTTTTTGGAAATTTTATGCTCTAAACAATTTTTACCATCGTTGAATCGTATTCTCAGTTTCCAGCTGTCAAAAAGCCGAAAATCGTTGAAATTCTGCAATTTCTAGAGAAATCATTTTTTAGCGTAATTCCCTTAAATACGCTTTTCAGGTACATGTTGTAAAATTTAAAGGAAAACCAGTGTGTTATTTGTCTTGCAAATTTTATGACCTTTCAAAAAAGTATATATAAGTTATACTTTTGTTGAAAAATAATTGATCGAAAGCGCTGGAAACGGAAAAAAACAGCTGAATTTTTGTTAAATATTGACTTCATGCTTTTGAATGATTCGTCTCACAATAAGGTCATAAAAGATGAAAAGGCAAAATGAATGGGTATACTTATGTAAAATTTAGCGTACTTTTCAGTGGTGTCGTTGTTTTTAACCTTAAATTAATTATTTTGACCTAAAATTGGTCAAGAACGCAAAAAATCGTGAATTATCAGCAGATTTTGCCGGTTGTTGTTTTTAAATAGTAAAATTCGGAACGAAAAAAAATAATAAAAGTCTAAGTTTTGTATATGATTCTTAATCAAAATTTTATGATTTTTAAATCTGATCTCTTGCAATTTTTTTGTTTGACGCATTATTTTTGAGTTATAAATGAAAATCCGTATGCAAGTCCTCTTTGAAATTCGCCGCAAGCCGCCATTTTGAAAAACTGCGATTTGACCACTTTCCCGGTGGAATTTTTTGGTAAACTTTTTTTTCTGTCTTATTGGGTACCTAGAGACCCTATATACCAAAGGAAAAGTTTGTGCTAATTTGTCCGTGGTAAAAAGCTAGAATGACTGGACTATTTGATAATTTCAAAAATTTGGATTCTTTACAAGTACATACCAAGTATTTAAAAGTATTTTTGAATAAAATCCCTCCTCGTATTCTCAGCACTACCGAGAAACCGCCCGGCAAGACATCAATCCATATGGTTGTGGATGGGAAGGATGTATCGNGGGGGGGGGGGGGGGGGCGTAGAGGAGTAGGTGCCTTTTAATGTCTAAATTACATAGAGATGTGTTAAGTACATTTTTCAGGCTCTACCCCCCCAGTTCATTTCAAATGTTTTAGCAATTCAGCCCAGAGTGTCCTAAAAAACGCGAAAAACCCGAAAAACATGTATAGGAGTTGCATTTATAGGTCACAAAAACAACCTAACTTGACTTTTTGAGCGCCTTGACCCAAAATACGCCCAAAAAAAGCGGAAAATCTCATTTTCTCATATTCGGCCAAACTACATATTTCGCGGTTTGTTGTTCCTCAATCTGTAGACCTTCTAGTTGACATTCCTGCAAAAAAATCGCGGGTGGTATGTTGACCGCATTAGAAGTGTTTAAAACCCACTGTGCCCATACATAATCCTCTGAGCTACAGGGGAAAATTAAAGCATGGACTGCAAGCACAGCACCAACCCATCAATTCGTAGCTTATGAACACTGGGCATCACAGGAAGGGGAAAAAGAAGAAAGAGAAGAAGAGCGGAGGAGAAGAAACTTTGAGTACTTTTGATTTTTACAGTTCGCTAAGTGTAGATGAGATTTTATAAGTTAGATCAACATTTTACTTAGATTGTAAAACTGTATTTTGTTCAGAAGCAGTTTGGCATCCATTGTATCAAATTCTCTTACTAGATCTCAGTGCATATTGATCAACATTGGTTGCTCAGGAATTTCTTGAGGACCTCGGTCAGGGTCTTTGCTGCTATTGACAAGTGCAGGGTATGTAGCAGTGGGGACAACAATGGGAGGGAAAACGGATATAAACCGCAAACTCCTTTGCAAGATTTTGATTTTATGCATAACTTCATGGGGCTTCGATACTGAACCTAGCAGCACTCTACTCTGCTGTGCGAAGGAAGAACGCCATTTGAGCGTTATCAAATTTCCTTTGATGAAACACAAATTTTTCAGTAAACTTGTGATTTTTTTACTCCCCCATTTTTCAGAGAGGTTAATTCGCTACTTGCTCCAAAGTATCTCAAAATTTCCATGGAAAATTGTCATAATTTTTCTAAAAAAAAAGTTTCATACCGAGGGGGAGGAATTTGGCATAATCCAAATGTTAATCTGGCGTTTTTCCTTAGAACGGCAGGACTGTTCTCGCCCGGTCTGTAGTGAATATTTTCCTTGATTTGAGCCTTTACCAATTTGTGCTGAGCTATGGTTATTTTTGAATTTCTCTTGATCTGAGACAAATATTCAGAAAGATAAAAAATTCAAAAGTTAGTGAATATATTACAATTGAGGGATATAGACAAAAAATGCTGCTAAACATCCTGAAATGCGAAATTTAGGTTCTTTTCGTCCTCCAATACTGATCTTATGACAATCATTTTTCTTATTTCTAATCTTAAACTTTCAAAGGTCCCCCTAAAACTGGGGTATCCTCTCACTGGGGTGCATAATCTACTTGATCTTGTGATCCGCGGATTTCAAGATCATTTAGGAAATTTTTGGTCAAAACGACACCGAAAAAAAATCCGATTACGATGCGAAAAGTGAGGATATTAATCAAAAGTAAAGAGCCCCAAAAAAAGTTATTACCTGGTAATATGTGGGAAAGTGATGAAATGTTTCGGATGTGTGTGAGGAAATAATCTTGAATCATAAAAAATGTTCGGGCGAACGACTTTTTCTGCACCCCTCCTGCCTTGCAATCTGTGCCTCTGAAGGTGCAGTGCTGAAATATGATGCCTGGTGAGAATAGGCGCAGATTACATGGTTTTTTATGTTTCAGCCATGTTGAATAAATCCCTTGAGGTGTACAACAAGAGTGTACTACTCGTTGAATTTTGTTCTTCGTCTGTCGGAGTGGAATTTCCTGGAGGTGGTCCGGCAACTCTTTACTGGGATCCAGCCGTCTCCTTGGCTTCGGCTCCATTTGCAGCCTCTTTCATTTGGAATATGTATTCTTATTGTCATTCTGTACGAGGTAACTTACCCTTCAGGCAGAAATAAATGATTCCTTTTCACTGTCAGACCGTAGGATCCCTATCCCAAAAAGCATGAAAATATCAGAAATTACAATGGCTGTCCAAAAGTAATTTGAAAGAGCCCTGATCATAAGAAATCAGGAACTATTTACAGATTCAATGTGTAATTTCTAATTCCCAAGGTATGAACTATGCAAACTTACTTTTTGGTTGACCCTTGAATAATCCCTGCCGGTGTTATTTGCTGATATGATCAAACTGTTGGGCGCAGTTTTTTTTTGTTAATTCTTCAATGGTAAAAAAATCTTATCTAGTACTGCTGTATGACTTCGGCACCCAGGTTGGTCATGAAAGTGGTGGTTGGTTGCCCAGAGTATAACAGGTTCCTTGTAGATCACGGGTAAAATTAATGAATATTGATGTGAGGGAACTTAGGTATCCAACTAAAATACATTGGAAAAGCCTCAGAAATAGCCATCCTCTTCAAGCTCGAAATTCATGCTGAATTCATGGCACACAAGCCTAGTGGCATCGAGAAAGTCCTATGAAACAAATGGTAATTGAATCAGTGAGAACGAAAAAGCACCAACTCGGAAAAATGAAAATTATTAAGACACACAAAACCCTGCACAGTAAGTGAAGAAGTTAATTAAAGTAAAAGATTTTTGCTACCGAAAGACAAGTACTTATGGCCACATTAAAGGTCCAAGTTGGAACAGGCCCGCTAACTTCAATGACCTTTATGTAAATTAACTGTCTTTAATGGAAATTGAGTATTTTCAAGTTACCGAGTTGGTGTGTTTTCGTTCTCACTGATTAAACTTAACTTATTTATTTTAAAACACCCTACAATTAAGAAGCATGCTGTCAAAGAGATGATAAAGAAACACTAAGTAGTGGCCCGAACTGTGTGTAACAAGGTGGAGAAATGGTGCTGGGTCCTCACCATTTCACAGGGAAAACAAGGCCAAGAAATTCCAAGAATTAAGTACTCATTATTCAATTCAACTTAATATTCCAATGCAAACTGCCTGAGCTGAAGACTCTCCCCCCTCAGTTTTTTACTGGTACTCATTGGAGCAAAAAATCTTTGACTCTAATTGAACAATTTTTGGAATTTATTGGCTTTGTTTTCCCCGTGAAATGGTGTGGACCCAGGACCATTTCTCAACCTTGTTGCTGTCGAAGAGTAAACTCTCTGTAAAAAGAAATAATTAATCGTAGTAAAATGGGGCATTGTCTTTGGGTTTTATTCAAATTAACATTATTAATCTCCGATTGGATTATTACAGGTGCCAGTATTTTTCATGAAACTTCACCTCACAACAGCCTCTTGGATAAATCTGATACAACCACCAGTAAGCTGGAGGTAAATTTTTGTTTTATATTTTACTTTTTTTTTTCTTTTTACAACCCAGCATACAACCTGTCCCTTGCAAATTCTGTTAGCAAAGCTAAAGCAAACTTTATCCTCTGACTCAAATCGAATTTCATTTAGAAAAACATTTTCTAAAATTTCATCTTGTGTTGCCGCCACTGGCAAAATGAAAAAAAATAAATAAATAAAAATAAAATAAATAAATAAAAATAAAATAAATAAATAAAAATAAAATAAATAAATAAAAATAAAATAAATAAATAAAAATAAAATAAATAAATAAAAATAAAATAAATAAATAAAAATAAAATAAATAAATAAAAATAAAATAAATAAATAAAAATAAAATAAATAAATAAAAATAAAATAAATAAATAAAAATAAAATAAATAAATAAAAATAAAATAAATAAATAAAAATAAAATAAATAAATAAAAATAAAATAAATAAATAAAAATAAAATAAATAAATAANTGAATAAAAATAAAATAAATGAATAAAAATAAAATAAATGAATAAAAATAAAATAAATGAATAAAAATAAAATAAATGAATAAAAATAAAATAAATGAATAAAAATAAAATAAATAAATAAAAATAAAATAAATAAATAAAAATAAAATAAATAAATAAAAAATAAATAAAAATAAAATAAATAAACAAAAATAGAATAAATAAATAAAAATAGAATAAATAAATAAAAATAGAATAAATAAATAAAAATAAAATGAATAAATAAAAATAAAATGAATAAATAAAAATAAAATGAATAAACAAAAACAAAAACAATAAACAAAAAATAAAAATAAAATAAATAAATAAAAATAAAATAAGTAAATAAAAATAAAATAAATAAATGAAAAATGAATATCGTTTGAGCTGCCGCAAAATTTTTTGAGTGCTTGCGAACAGCGCGCCTCTGGATGCAAAGCTCAGAACTACTTGATGAGCAGAGTTCACATCGACCGCTCCCTCCTTCGCCTGATCACGGGGGGTAAAGCTGCATCCAGCTAATCCAAGCAGCGTAGGGCTAATAAGTAGACGATTCTTCGCCTTTTAACCTTAGTCTTTAATTTCCAATAGTGGCAACAGTGTTCTGCAGTGTGAATCTTGGTGTTAAGAACGTTACAAATTTTGCAGGTTGTACATAAAAAAATGTATCGCAGATAAGAAGTGAGCCGATCTTATCCACTCAACAAAACTATGATATAGTAGTGGAAAGTGGAAGTGTGAAAACAACTAATAAAATCCAGGCCAAATATTTGCAATTAACCGTCCGAATTAGCAAAAAAAACTAAGATGAGGCTAAGTGCTGATTTTTAGGGCAAAACAAATAGAATTCTGAAAATATGTTTAGAAAAACAAAGCATGTGAGATTGCGTTAAAAAGGAAAATCATCGTATTTATTCTGAAATTTAGATTTTATAATTACCAGGTTATTCCAGAATATGTCTCAGGCTTCCGGCAAATCATACAAAGGTTTTTTGGCGAGCAGCAAGACATCAAGAGCTTAAAACTGGTTTGTTGTCTTATGTGGCTCTGTGGTTCTGCCAGTGCTGCTGCCTCTCCCGTAAGTTGAATTATGATTTTCATTGGAGGGGTATCCTCAGTAGACCATGTTCGTATCCAACTCATTTGACTATTTGTCAGTTCAAGAGTTGTTGTTTGTTTTTCTCTGCAAAAGAAAAGGGATAACTGGACAGCAAATTGTGATACAGTCATAATTTGGACTAAATGCATGCATCACCTCTTCAGCAAATTTTAAGCGCCGAACAAGGTCTCCACTAAGGGTTGAGAATTACTTCAAATCAATTGTATGTTCAATATGAATAAATTGGCTCTTACCAGATTGGCTCATGTAAGTTTTTGACTCTGGCCTAATGATGAACTTGACGATTATACCTTTTGAAGTGACTTAATAGACCGTTTTAGTGATGACGTCACATTTCGAGATGTATAGCGATTTTAGGCTTGGTGCCCTAACCAGGATTCGGTCGGTTCGTTTTACATAGGATTTCCCCTTAAGGAGCGGAAAGTCAATTTACAAACTCTGATTCTGGGTAGTTTCAGACCGTTTCTGTTGGATATTCTTGCAATTAGGAGTTGTTTATATGCTAAAATGTACGTTTCTTTCTGGTGAATCCTCAATATTGCATTGGATGAATTAATTTTACCCAATGAATCGAAGCAAGTCCGGAAAGTGAGATTATGTTACCCCTTTGTTTACATTCTTAAATTGGACTCTGTTCATCATTAATTTATGAAAAAAATAATTCTGCGCATCTCTTACTTTAGTTTTTCTTTTAAATTCTATCTATTATAACAAACCCTTAATATCCGCAACTAATAAGTTGAATATTGGACACCAATATTTGTTTTTTCCCTTTCTAAAGTGTTGCGCTGCAATTGTTCCAGCGATACATCACTCACTTTTGTTTCATACTATCTTTAATTTTTCCTCCTTAAAAATCCAATACATAGGTGGTATTCTTTAAATCCATTTCAGTTCATACTTTCAGAGGAAAGCTGCCACTATGTTCCAGGTACTAACTGTTAGCATACAATAACGCTGTGGAGAAGTTGTCTCCGTTTGATCCTTTCAATGTTGATAAAATTTTGAATGTACTTCATCGATAACATGAGACTTCTCGAACACGGACACTCATAGAGAAAAAAAGGAGGTGTTTGCATCTTGAGGTTTGTTTACCCTGTGACGCAGGTCGGTACAATCTGGTCAGCGAAATCTGAAATTCGAAGTATAAAAAACGGACCATAATGTTCCATTTTTTTGCTTAAATCAATTCATGATATAATTTTAAGCACTTTTTATAGAATGACTTTTTCCCATAAATTACACCATTTCCAAGAAAATGTATGATAAAAGTCACTTTGCCGACCTACATCATAAAAAAATTCCAAGATGCCCGAAATGCAAATACCTCCTTTTTTTTCTCCATGACTGACACTGACAGGAACTTATTGGCGTAGGCTCAATACAATAAAGGTATATTAAGGTAATAGGCATTCATTAGAATCTTCTTATAACTTCTAGGGGAAGGTAAGTATCCATAGCGGTGAGCGGGTTGTGAGACTACAACTTTACTCATCCCCACATAACGTCTACACATATATACCGTCGCAATAATATGAGTTAGAGAACTGAATAATGATCATAAACTCAGTAATATAGTGAAAATCTCCGAATGCTTCGTCCTTTTCCAAAAAGGAAGAAATAATACTCTTCTGAGTTCCAGAAAAGAATGTAAAGAAAGGGGTAACATAACCTCACTCTCAGGACTTGCTTTGATTCATTAAGTATAATTAATTCATCCAATGCAATACTCATTGAGGATTCACTAGAAAAAAATGTACATTTGAGGATATAAAAAACCTATAATCGCAAGAAAATCCAGCATAAACGGTCTGAAACTACCCAGAATCAAAGTTTCATAATTGACTTTCCGTTCCTTATGGAAAATCCCATGTAAATCGAACCGACTGAATCCGGGTTATGGCATTAGGCCTAAAATCGCGATGTATCTCGAAATGTGATGCAACACTGAAACGGTCTGTTAAATATACCTGGTTAAGCCTCATTACAATATACCATAAGCCATTAAGCCTCTGCTGGTGTACTGGCTGTAGGGCTTTTCACTTCTAATTCTTTGAGCCATGTTATAATGTTTGAACAAATGCTCAACTCCTTATGAACAAATGCTCCAACTGGATAATGTTGGACTAGGAGATAAGTGAAAATAAGTGGTGGGTGGAGCACTTGGTGGCACTTTCAAAGCTATCTAACCATAAAATTCTATTTTTTCTATGTGATCATAATTTTTGTTCACAAAATCAAAATGAGGCTGAGTTTAGCTTGCAGCTCGTTGCTCCAAGTTGCGCTCCAAATAGTGAACAAAGGAATAAGTTGCAATGAGGCAGTGCCGTTTCAGTTATTTGAATGGTGAAACGTTATTTGCAACACAATGGGCCTGTTGCAAACTTTTGCTAGAGCATAAATGAGAGCTGTTCCTCATAGATAATGTCTCAAAAATCACGATGAGTGCGTCAGCAAACTCTGAAATGCACTCCTAACTTCACAATCTGCGTAAGAGATTTGTGTTTTTTTATGCTTTCCGCTTCCAAGAGGATAGTACGACACAGGTGAACATTTCGTTACAGGAGTCGTTCCATTCAATCCCTGCTCAACATGGCCGACGCTTCCACCCGCAAGTTGAGTAGAGTGCGAGGTCAGTGAAAGTGGATATCTATCAACGAGAGAAAAATGTTAATGTAAACACGCTGATTGTTATCAGGTGGTTAGAATCATCGTCTCATCACAGTGTTTTGGCGGATTGGCGACGGCTTTGTTGAATATTGCGTAGCATCTATATGAGCAGGGGTTGGATAGAATGACTCCTCTAACGAAATGTGCACCTGTGCCATGGTATTGGTTTTGAAAGGGGGAGCTCTAAAAACGCAACTTTCTCATGCAAATTATGAAGTAAGGAGCGTTTTTCAGACTTTGCCGATGCACTCATCGTGATTTTTAAGACATTTCATCTGAGTTACAACTCTTATTTTGGCTCTAGCAAAAGTTTGCAACAGGCCCATTTTGGATTTAGGAATGTTATTATAAAAATAATTTTTAGTTCTGAGTTTGAAATTCTGAATGATAATTCAACTCCACTGATAAAATATCTAACTTTATGATTTTTTCCTTTTGTTTCAAATTAAATAATACCTGATATAAAAAAGATTTTTTATTTCTTATTTATTTATTTATTTATTTTTTTTTAAATGCTTGAAGATATAATATTCACATGATCTCGTTATTTGCAGTAAAATTTATGCCATAAATTTTACAATATTTTCCGTACAACCATTCAAAGAGTTACTGTGAGAAAGTAGAGAATTTCGATCAGTTTGTTTAGAGAAAACCTTGAATAATTAGAAAAGAGGGTTATTCATGTAGGCAAAAAATGTACCCAGCTCGGAATGTACGAAACTTTGTGGGCTGATAGTACTAGTTGAGAGAGGCTAGTTAGAATAAGGCTGAACGTGATTAAATAAGTTATACATTTTTTTTGTGATTGCGGTGGCGGTTTCCATGAAAACTGGAAACCCCGCCTCTACGCGAATTCCGACGGAAATTAGACAATGTTGTGAACACCATGTCGCAAATGGTCAGTTTAGATTAACATATGTACCTGGACGTGATTAAATGAGTACTACTTTAAATTTTGATCGCAGCGGTGGTTTTCATTGAAAACTGGCAACACCGCCGCTACTTGAATTCCTAAAAATAATGTGAAAGTTTCAAAAAAGCGCAAAACATGAACTGACTTTTCGAATTTTGTTTGGTCTAGGTGTTTTGCTTTAACACGGAGTCGCAAAACGTACCTAAACGAGCGTCAATATCGGGCGTCGGGCGTGTTGCCGAATTTCCAAATCGCTATAACTCGTGTTCCCTAAGTCTCTCCGAAAAGTATAACATATCAATGGTTGCGGAATCGAACAAACAATAGTTCTGACAGGTTTTTATTCAATCCCCACCAACCGCAAACACATTTTTAGGCGGTAACGTGATTTTAAATAATTACTAAAATTAAAAAAATGGCCAAAACGTAGCAACAGTGGAGTCAAATTAAAATTTCTTTTGCATCGGTCGATAGAGCGTAATTTTCTGCGTTTTTTGGTATAAATACGAGCTCTGCAACTGCATTTTTGCGAAAGTTATGGATGTTTGAAGGTTACGACTTTAAAAAATGGCAACGCTGAATCCCTGGGGCTCCTGCAAAAACGGAGCTTGGGATAAGCCTCTCTCAACTAGTACTATCAGTCCACAAAGTTTCGTACATTTCGGGCTGGGTGTATTTTTCGCCTATATGAATAACCCTCTTTTCTTCCTCTAAGTCCGTAGAATGTTTTGATCTCTGCTCGCATAAATACACCTATTCTTGATTGAAAATTATGAAGAGAAGAGAACCTCTATCTGTGACAATCTTTACTTTGCATTGTCTCTCACTGAGATACAACGTCATCAGTTTTAGCACGATTTCAACTTTACCATTAAATTTTCCCCAGGTAAGCAGGGGCGGATTGGCAGGCGGGAATACCGGGAAAAATCCCGGTGGGCCGGTTGGTATTTTTGGCCGCTTTAAAATAAACTTATATTACTACTACTTTCTTTCTTTCTTTCTTTCTTAAAACTTAACCTTCCCCCTCAACCCTTTTGTATTTTCACTGACGTAACCTTGATTTCCATGTGAACACACAGAGGTGTAAATGGCCGTAGATGCTAAAGCACCGCTTTAAAATAAACTTATCTTACTACTACTACTACTAATTTCTTTCATTTTTTCTTTTTTTATCTCCATAGTCTAAAGGTATGTGGAGAAATGGGATAAAATCTTAGTGAACTGTCACTTTCTCATAAAATGGGTGAGGCTCCACGGGCCTCCATTGTTCCACGGGGCTGCTTTATGCTCCACGGTCGCAGCCAACTTTGCAAATATTTTGCGACTCTAATTGCGTATGTTCGCGCTTAAAAATGGCTTCTTGAGGTGCTAATTTTTCCAAATTTTTCCGGGGGAGGGCCCCCGGACCCCCCTCTCTCTGTGGAGTGTCCCCCGACCCCCATTTGGTTTGTGGGCCGGTTTGGCTGTACATTTCCCGGTGACTTTTTTCGTCCCAGTCCGCCCCTGCAGGTAAGCTTTTGGTCCCCCATCTGAAATGACTTACCTAACGAGATTTTAGTGTATTTTCTCGAAATTGACATGGTGTATGAATTGAGAATCATTTCCTTTTTCTGTTTGATAGTCCAAGAATTACCTATTAGAACATTCATATATTGTTCATTCCTGCATTTCGGCTTTACTGAAGAAAGTGTTGGGTGCCAAACATCTTGATTTACATCTGGCTCAGTTTTTACTTCATTATTTCTCTACAGAGGCTGCATTAAAGTGGCTATCAGATTTCTCGAAGAAGTAAGTAAAGTCGGCCAATTTAAAAATTTGCAAAGACAAACCTCATAATGGAATGCCATGTTTCTACTTTAATTTTCCTCTGTGTAAGATTTTATTGCCAGTTCTTTTCATTCTTGAAACGTTTTGATACATTCGAATTCCTCATAATGAATTTTAATTAATGCCAAACGGCTTCATACTCTTTACTTTTTTTTGGAAACGAAACTAACGAAACATTTCCTCTCTAAAAATTCAAGATTGTTGTTACTTTGCTAGATGGGGTTTCAAAGGGGGAAGGTCAAATCTTGTCCATCCTCTAACTCTAATATATTTGAAGTAGTCAACCTCAAATGCTGCGATCTATGTCTAGTCTACAAAGTATGGTCAACTTTACAGAAAATGCGGTATTTCAACTAATGTTTTATATCACTTAGAGGTACAATTTCAAAAAAAAATTGTTTGCAAAAAACTTGTTGATTTACTCAGAGCAGATATCAGAACGTAACTTTTTTGCATTATAGCATTTCAAAGGGGATTGACGGGCATGAAGTCCTCATGATGGCGTGTTGGGTGTCTTTTCCTGGATTTACTGGGTCAAAAAAGCAAAATATGAGGCTAAAATAAGTGTTCCTACTCCACGTAAGACATCAAGATCCAAAATGGCAGCCAAAATAGTGGAATGATTTGACAAAAAATTTGGAATACGTGCTGTATAGCAAGTCAAGTATCGAATTAATAAATATTCGATGTTATCGATATTAAATATTAATAGTCATTCATCCACTAGCTCCAAAACTTACCATTCTCTACACTTTAATAAACAATAAATTATTGATCATGGTTCATCGTCATGGATCGTAGATCATCAAAGTGACTGTTTGAAAGGAACGCTGGTAGAAAACAGAACTGTGCTTGGTAGTTTCAGTCGTAAACAAGGAAGGAAATCTTAAGCTATTGACATTAATAAAAAGGATTTATAAAATACGAAAATTGATCTAATGGAGGATACTTTCTCAGGAAAATTTTCAACTTTATGCAGACTTCCACATCGGCGCCAGCAAGTGTTTCTGGTCGAGCGTTTTTTCCAATGATTTTCTCTTGAAAATTTAAAAATCCTGCGGAAACTGTTTTATCCTCAACCTCATATGCCATAGAATACCTACCTCTAAAATGTTGAGAGGGATGATAGTTTATAGGTGGATAATATTGATTAGGTAGTGTAAGCACAACTTTCAGGTGTTCCAAAGACTTCGAAGAGGCACAAAAAGTCAGCTTGTCAGCATCTTCAAGCTTAAAAAATCTGGCTTGGCCGTCAATTTTTCGACGATATTGTATTTCCTGAGCGCCTAATGGAAGGACATGTCTAGTTTTCATAAGAACTGAAGCAGATTAGTCTCGTAAAAGGCTCTAGACCATCTGAGACTTATGGTCCTACATAATCAATTTCATTCAAAACCTTTATCCCTTTCAACATTTTAAAGGCAGGTATACTCTATGGCATATGAGGTTGAGGGAAAGACAGAAATACCGCAGTTTAAATTTTCAAGGGAAACTCATTGGAGAAAGCTCTCATCTGTAAACACGTGCTGGCGTGGATGGCAATCTCGCATAGGCTGAACTTTTGAATCCACAAACTTGGACTTTCATTCATGAGAACTGAGAAAGATTAGTATTCTCTTTGGAGTAAAAGGTTGCAAACTTAATTTCCATTGTTCATTTGTATTTCCAGAGTGTAGCTATAGAATAAAAGTTGCCTTACTGATTCCGGAGAGTTTTTTTTAAACCTGCCACCAATAAGTTGCCGTAAAAATGTGACTTTTTCCCTTAATGAGCTCAATACTTAATTAGATCTCGTTAAAAAGCTTCCAAATAAGCTAAGAGATTCTGCAAACCACATTTCAATATCCTCAATGGCCCATTTGCGGCAGGCCAACTCTCTGTTTCTTTGGGACACCTTTTGTATTTTCGATTAGGGTGTATGAAGGCATTCATTGTATGGAGAATAATTTAAAATAGCACGGAAATGGGTTGATGAATTAGACTGATGTGATACGAGCTAAAAAAGAGCATGGAATTACGATTAAAAAAATATTTTATATTTAACTATTTTATTTTACAGAGTTGACAGAAAAAATAAATCCATACTTAGTCACATTTTTACTGGTTTCTATTGGCCACTTTACGGTTGGAGGCCCCTCATGAGGTGGGAAAGGTCAAACTTTATAGTTTGTTAAAGTGTAGAGAATGGTAAGTTTTGGAGCTTGTGGGTGAATTACCTGGGACCCAAGTATTATGTGAATGGATACTTGACTTGCCATACAGCGTGTATTCCAAATTTTTTGTCCTATCATTCTGCTATTTCAGCTACCATCTTGGATCTAGATGTCTTTCATGGAGTAGGAACACTTATTTTAGTCGCATATTTGTTTTTTTGACCCAGTAAACCCAGGAAAAGACACCCAGCACGTCATCATGAGGACTTTATGCCTGTTCATCCCCATATTTCGAGCCAAAGGGCGCCATCTTGGATTTCGGGCTCTACAAGAAGTCAGAGATAATTTGAAACAACATATTTGAATTCTACGACCAAAAGTACAAGGGATTCAATACCTATCATGACGTAAGTTAACTATTTAAAATTTTTGACCCTCAGAGTCGGCCATTTTTGTGTCCATTTTGGGGCCTGGAGCCTCCCTGTGCCTCGATAAGGTAAGTTCACCTTCATTTTCGGATTTTGCGACTCAAAAGACCTATGAATAGACACCTCACTCGGCTTTTTCAGGAGTACATGTCCCTCACCCCGATTTCGGCCGAAATTTGACCGCCATCTTGGATTCTGGACTTCAAGAAAGATCAACGTGATTTTCGGACGGCAGATTCGAATTCGACGACCAGTAATACATAGAAATCGACCCCTTAGTCGACCAAAAGGGTTGTTTCCTTCAATTTCATCCCCAAGAGGGTCGTTTCGGCCGCCATCTTGGATAGGGGGTGTATTTTCGAAAATTGAGAATGACAACATCGGAATTCTGTTTCTAGACAACAGGACAAAGAGATTAAGACATCTTTCTTACTTCTTTCACCAGAAATACCGCGGGAAGAATTTTGTGCCAGGACTATTTGACTAGTTTGCTAAAAATTGATCAAGTGCTTCTTTTGTTTCAGCTGTAGAAATGATTGTCACCGACTGGGGCATGTTTCACTAACCGGTATGGAATATTGCAAGAAAAATTCTTTAAAATCAGAACAAAAATCTTTCTTCACAACTTACTTGCAGTGTAATTGGAGTAAACGCTTATTACAGTTCAATCTTCCCACTAAAGGTCAGTTCAAATTCCTTACCGTGCTGCAATTATATAACTTGGTTCTTTTTAGTGTATTTTCCGAAGAAAATAACCCAGGTCAGACCCAGACTTGAGACTGTGTAAAGAGCACTGATCACAAGTGGTAGATCACGAAAATATGTGCCATTCAAATTCATGTGTATCAGCTAAATCCAGGCATGTGTATCAACTGTATATCCAGGATCGAAACGTCTGCGCTTGTATGTAGTTGAATCCTTCAACATGTAAGGAACTGGATTTTTTGTCTCTGAAGGTTTCTCTTGACTGAATGGCTCCCGCATTGCTTACATACTTAGGTAAAAGTCATTTTTTTACACTACATATATAAATTGACTTGCAGCCCGACATGATGTAAACAATGACACAAAAATTGGGATAAAAGCTGTTATCACACACTAGGGTGGCCCTTATTTTGGAGTTTGCCGAATTTCTTTGGGCGGAACCCTTCAATTTACGCGTTCGCTAGGCACCAATTGGAGTGATTTTAGCAAAGCTCTTGAACTATGCACCCCCCTCTTCTGCAGATCATTTACCTGTTTTCGGTGGGAGAGGTGCTGCAGACCAGGAGTTACAGAGACAATTTCTTTGCAGATGGTGTCAAGCTGGCATGTAGGTGGAAAAGAATAAGAACAGAAGTATTATGAAATCCAGGGGATCCTCGAATTTGCCATTCAAAAATGATTTCCTGGAAACTGTACTGGTTGAGGTCAGAGTATGGTACCTTTTAGTGTGGTCTTTAGGCCCTGTCCACATGAGTGCAGTCTAGGCGAATGAGTTCTACTAACTGGGATTCACGGAAAAGCTTAAAGCTAAGTCATAATAAGTTCCTGGAACAAGTTCGTCCGAAGTTCTATGAACGGCACTCGTGTATACAAGACCTTACTCAATTAGCAGCTATACCTTATGCAAATGTTTTTGCGGATTACTTGTTTTTTAAAATTTCTAAGATAACACTTCGGACAGTAGTGAAATAATGATATTAGTTGTTTGGCCTTTTAACCTATTATGATCTTCCTAAGCTTTCAGCTATGAATTTCTCTTAATTTTTTCTTGAATTTTTTCAGACACATTTAAGCAGACAGAAAAAGAACAAAAGCAGTTGTTGGCCAAATTAATCACACTGCCCGACATCAGTGTTCAGATCCTCACAGAATACTGCGAAGACTTTGGTTTTGATGCTCAGGAATACCTGCTTCTCCATTTAAAACATCTGATGTTGTCATGGAAGCCTGAGTTTGAACTAGAAATAGACTTGGTGGGGGGAAAAAAGATTGTCGTGAAAAATTCAACTGAACATATACGTACCCGATGCGGTGATATATTAACTTTTCTAGAAAATAGTGAAGAGCTCAAATCATTTTTAAGCTTGAATTTATGGAACGAAGTGAATCATTACTACTATGAGTTGTATCAAGTCATTGTTGATTTATTAGAATTGTTAACACATGACATAGAATATTACCGCAAGTTTAAAATAATATTGTTCTTTCTTATGAAGTATCAACGATTATGTGAACCCACCTCAGTAGAAGAAGAATTTTGGCAGACTAAGTTCTCTACCTCACAAAAGCTTCCTGCGATTGCAGCGTACAGGCTACCTGTACAATTTTTAGCTAAAAGTTGGTTTAACACCCATGCTGATATGTGGAGTGTTGTGAAGCATGAATTTAATATCCAGTCTTACAAACAATGGTTCGACGTCTTGAACATTTTGGGCATCGACAAGAATTCCATCTGCACCCTCGCCATCAGCCAAACAACAATTGCAGACACCTCCTCAACAGAAAGTGACTGGTGTGTTCATAAAAAGAACGTTCAATTTTTGAAAGATGTGAAAGAGTGTGTAGAACATGTTACAAATCTAGAAATGGCAAGTGCTTCTCTTTATCATGTGGTCAATCATTTGCCACCTGGAGCGGATCAACTGACAGCTGCAGAATTATGCCTAATGCAAACTAAACAATTTTTTGCGAAAGAACCAAGTTCATGCGCGGAAACTTGTCTGAACAAAATTCAGAAAAAATACCTAACAATTTCTACCACTCATGTGCTATACACACATAATCTAGCCAAGCCAGATTATCTGAACCTTGTGCTCGACCCACATGAATTGATCAAGGAGCTTTATCATGATTCAAGCATCATTGAGCGGACGATCAACCATACTTTAAATGAAATTGATATTAACAACGCGGCCTTACTTATAGCAAAACTACATTCAGTAAATTTAACAAATATTCGACTACAACTACTGGCAACCTGGTTGCAACCAAATAATATGATGCAAGACCGATCTCTTGATGAAACAATGGTATTTAGCCCCAGGCATGTATCAGCATCGAGCATGGAAGAAAACTTAATTCGTTCTTGCTACATCCTTGAGAGTGATATTGAAAACTCAATTAGATATTTAGTGGGATTGATTTTCGCTTATGATCTTGATGATATCACACCTATATCAGTACAGTTCCGTGCCTTGAAGTGTCTTTGTGCCATTATACCATCTCGAGAACAACTTGAAGAAGTAACTGCTCGTGATATTCAAAGTATCCAAAGTCATTTACAGTCCCTCATGTACCTGAATGAATTAGAGAAAAGTGGCCTTGTTTATTCTATAGAAGGATTTCAGTGTTGCAACAAAGAGGAACTGATCAAACTCTTAATTTCTTTTAGAAGCCAACAGTCTTTAAAAATTGCTGTCAAGCTGTGCCAGGATTTCCATATCGTCAAACCCAATATTTGGAAAGATGTTGTCTCTGATTTAACTAAATACTCAATGATTGATGATTTAAAAATTGTATTACCTCATCTGAACGGCATATGTGAATTAGCCAATTCCACGGAAATAGTTCAAGCTTGGAATGTCTTGTTACTGCATTTATTAGAGAAAATCGAACCTGACGATAAAAGTTTCTTAGAGGAGTTCAAATTTTTCCTTCATTCTTGCTGTGTTACTCCCTTTTTAAATCTTCAGGCAATCAAGTATCATTGTGGAAGGATAAATGAAATCCACATCCTCTCAACAGTTTTGACCCTGACCTCTGAATTTGAAGGTAAAAATGAGACATCTATACTATGAGATGACCTCCTAAAGGTTTGATAAGCGACTGAAGCATCACTTTGAATCAGTCGGATTGGTAAAAGGAAACTAACTTGATGAAGTACTTGTAAATTCCTACTGTTGTTACACTGTGATGATTCCTACTATACCGTTGTTGATATACTAAATAAATTCCCACCTTGTGTAGTGGCCTATTGCACATTGCGGATCCAACGATATGAAGTCCATGCTTAACTTTTATTAATTTCATGGCATTCCCTAATTATCATTCTAATAATAATGTGTCAGTGCTATTGACGCATAAAAAAAAAAAAAAAAAAAAAAAAAAAAAAAAAAAAAAAAAAAAAAAAAAAAAAAAAAAAAAAATATAAATTTGGCTTGAATACTGTAAAAAGATGGCTTATATATGATTTAATTACTAATCGCCAGTGAATGTTCACTTCTTATTTTTTTTTTTAAATTTCGCTCTGTATCATCAATGTGTGTCCAAAAAATTTTCGCCAAAATAAAAACTTTTTAACTTGAAGTAATTTTTCCCAAAAGGGAAGCAACTGATTCTCATCTGAGCAAAGATATGAAACTATGGAACTATGGCTCTCATAGCCTTTATAGCCTCCAGATCAGCCTCTATTATCAGGTTCATGACAATGTGATCGAAAGAGATATCTGCAGATCCATGTCAAAACCTTGTTACCTATCCTACTCTGCTTATGTCATATAAACGATATTTCCAACGATGAATAAAAAATTCATCAGAACAAGAAACAAAAATTTTTTTCAAATTTTAATTAATTTTTTTCAAAACCAATTTGCAATATCTAGGTAATCTCGAGACATTTTCATGATGATCGGTCATCATGCAATGATTTATGATAAATGTTATGATAGCTTCCATTTACATGCATACTACAATGCATTATCATAATTTGAGAATATTAAACGATATTTTACAATACATAGATTTTGAGAGAAGGCAAAGGAAGAATGATATGCCTGAAAAATCTGCAAGTAATCTTCCAGCATGCAGCAGGGACAAATATTAACAATTAAAGTACTCCTGAGACTAGTGTGCGGCGACCAGCGATGTTGTGTGCACAGGGTCCCAGCTGCCGGCTCCGTCAAAAAAATGCAGGTATATAATGTATTTCATAAAAACTGGGAGTTTCGTACATTTTTCAATTTGTTGTGACTTTAGTCTACATAATTTGCGAAAATAATTATCGATTTAAATTGATAAATCCCGAAAACCATGCCCAGCCCGTGATTCTCCCATTAGCCGCTGTGTTAAAAAATAGATTTCATGAAAATGTTGTTCGGTTCACATACTATAGAGTACATAGAGGCGTAATGTATAATGGGAGAGCTGGCGCCACTTTTAAGCATTTTCCAGGTCCCGAATTCCGAGACTCTGGTGGGTGATTTCATGATAAGAGAAATAGTCGTGTCGCTGTGGGTTATAAACGACTTTGGGCAAAACGATCGAAAACCAAGTCGGTAAATCAATAGGACGGATGTCCGTGAACTTATCCATGCTAAAAATATGATAAATTATTATTCCCAGATAGCCCACGGATATTCATAGAATTTTCAATGGATATCTGAGGGAAAAAACGAATATCGATAGGATTCAATTTTCAATGTTTCGGTAACCTTAACGAAACATTCTTATATTCATCGGTTGAAATATTGTTAGTGGCTTTGAAAAACTATGTGCTTCAAACACACTTGGAGGTATGCCTTCCTGGCCGCTCCCCACTGGCAGTGCTAGGCGCCCTCCTCAGGTTTGGATTGTGTGTTTAAACATGACAAACTGATTCATTGTTATTTTTGGGTGTCATTTCCCCATCTTTCCGTAAAATTTGAGAATATTTCTAGTGATTTGAAAATTTACAATACCTGCTCTAAATATTCTGCAGGAAAGATAAACCTGAAGCTCAAACATTTTTAAAAATAACAAATACCTAAGTAGAAATTCACAACTTTTTGCAATAAATGGATAGCATTAAGCAGCTAGTTACTGATTGCCAGACACCTGGCAGTCTATTTTTTCCTAGGAAAATGGTTCAATAAATGCCTCTACTGCCAATTTCAGAATATTTAAGGAAATTCTCTGAAATTTTCAGTAGAATCTGTGTGACCTGTCCTCTTTGAAAAAATGTGGCGTGCATTTTAATTAGCAGTAATATATGCAGGTGATACCAACATAATAATGAAAAGAAGAATGACATATTTATTATTAATTAAGCTATTTTATATTTTCAAACAAGTACTAATAATAATGGAATCAGGGCACTAAATTAAAATTATGAAAAACATCACTAGTAAAAGACAATACGCTATGTAGTAGCATTGACCCTTTAAAATTTCAAAAACTCTCAAAAAACTTTTAATATGATCGCACTTAGTAACACTCGGAACAGCACAGCACTAAGTCTCCCAGAACACTTAAGAGGCGAATGACGGTTTCTCTTTTCCCAACAGCTGAAAATTTTAAAATTTTCTCTCTCACGGTGCGCCTGAGGTAACTTAAAAGAACTTTGAATGTACATCAAAAATTCAAGTTGGAGGTTGTAGTAGGGTACTCCCTGAGGTCATCAGAGCTCTCCGAAAAATAATCGCATTTTTGTGGTTAATTAGTGGTTAAATAGCAAAATTGGCCTTGGGGCGACAAAAACAAACCCCTCTCCCTCATCCTTGCCTTGACAGATCTGAATTTTTAGTATCATGGAAAAAAATTAAATCGTCACCTTCCCGGCAAAGTATCACAAGCGCCATTTTTACCGAAATTGAGTTATGAATAGTTCCGAAATAACGAGATGCATTTACATACGAAAATAATCATTTTTTTTACAACAAATATGTAGAAATATGAATAAAAGTCGATTAAAGTTGATGTACTTTCGTATCACAAGCGCCATTTGGGAGAAAAGTATCACAAGCGCCATTTGGGAGAAAAGTATCACAAGCGCCAAGTTCGGCAACCGCCTACCTTTTTGATTGTTTTACAATTTTTGTCACGGCAGTCTTCGGAATGACTTGAAACTAAATTATTTTCGCATGTAATTACATCTCGTTATTTCGAATGTAATATTTTTTTTAGACTAAATATAAATAAATATTTAAAATACTCCATTGAAGTTGACGAACTTTCGTATCACAAGCGCCATGTAAGAGAAAAGTATCACAAGCGCCAAGTTGGGAATAATCGCTCATCTTTGAGATTGATTTTCGATATTAGTATCAACAACTTTTGGAATGACTTGGAGCGATTCGTCACTTTTCGGCCGAAGTATCACAAGCGCTATTTTTATTAAAGTTGAGTTATGGGTAGTTTTGAATTAATAAGATGCATTTACATACGAAAATAATATTTTTTTTTAGATTAAAAATGAAGAAATATGGAAAAAACTCCGTTAAATTTGATGGGCTTTCGTATCACAAGCGCCAATAGATTCTCAGAGTGCCCCGAGAAGCCGATATCACAAGCGCCAATTTTCAAAGAAAAACCCGTTTTTTTAAAGAAATTTTATTAAAATTCGAAGCAGGGAGGTGTGCTGGATCTATATTTCAAGTTTCAAGCCAAACATCCGTCTTTTACGGTCGCAATTCAGTTTTTTGTGTCTCTTGAAAAGTTGGCAAAGTGGCGCTTGTGATACTTTGCCGGGAAGGTGACGAAATGTTGATTTAGCATTTATACTGTTAAAAAGATGTCCAACAAGTTTCAAATGCTAACGTAACTACGCCCACTGCAAAACGAACAAATTTAAATGTTATGTTAGCATTTTTGTAATCCAAAATCAGCATTTGAAACTTGTCGGACATCTTTTTAACAGTATAAATGCTAAATCAACATTTAATTTTTTTCCGTGATGTTTTCCCCTGGTATAAGATGTGACTTTCCCAAAGACATAAAGACGGAGGGCTAAAAGCAAAAAATGAAGCTTCTTTTCAACCACCTCTACTATTGGCTAGAGGATTGGCGGCGAAATCGGGACAAGTTTGAATTCAAATGTAGGGCGGGAACTGAATAAAATAATTGCGGAAACAAAGTATTCTAGGTTGATTTTTGCCCAAATTCACTCACCCACTCATATTTCTTTAACTTTAGGTTAGCTTTGGTCCGTCGTCGACCGATTAATTTCATTTGGGAGTGGCGGTCATCTAGAATTGTAACGACCTGTTTGAACCTGCAGAACCACCATGAGCAGAAGAAAAACTAACTTTATCTGAGATTACTGCCTGTTACTGAGCAAAAGTAGGTGTATTATACTAGGACGCAGACCGAACTTTCTTAATATAATCGTTTTGGGCATTTAAAACACGTTTAGAAGAAGAAATAAGGAAAAATCAAGAGGACAAGTTCAAATCAAATTTCCGTTTGCCGCCATGGATTCCCGCGCTCATTTCGTCACCTTCCCGGCAAAGTATCACAAGCGCCACTTTGCCAACTTTTCAAGAGACACAAAAAACTGAATTGCGACCGTAAAAGACGGATGTTTGGCTTGAAACTTGAAATATAGATCCAGCACACCTCCCTGCTTCGAATTTTAATAACATTTCTTTAAAAAAACGGGTTTTTCTTTGAAAATTGGCGCTTGTGATATCGGCTTCTCGGGGCACTCTGAGAATCTATTGGCGCTTGTGATACGAAAGCCCATCAAATTTAACGGAGTTTTTTCCATATTTCTTCATTTTTAATCTAAAAAAAAATATTATTTTCGTATGTAAATGCATCTTATTAATTCAAAACTACCCATAACTCAACTTTAATAAAAATAGCGCTTGTGATACTTCGGCCGAAAAGTGACGAATCGCTCCAAGTCATTCCAAAAGTTGTTGATACTAATATCGAAAATCAATCTCAAAGATGAGCGATTATTCCCAACTTGGCGCTTGTGATACTTTTCTCTTACATGGCGCTTGTGATACGAAAGTTCGTCAACTTCAATGGAGTATTTTAAATATTTATTTATATTTAGTCTAAAAAAAATATTACATTCGAAATAACGAGATGTAATTACATGCGAAAATAATTTAGTTTCAAGTCATTCCGAAGACTGCCGTGACAAAAATTGTAAAACAATCAAAAAGGTAGGCGGTTGCCGAACTTGGCGCTTGTGATACTTTTCTCCCAAATGGCGCTTGTGATACTTTTCTCCCAAATGGCGCTTGTGATACGAAAGTACATCAACTTTAATCGACTTTTATTCATATTTCTACATATTTGTTGTAAAAAAAATGATTATTTTCGTATGTAAATGCATCTCGTTATTTCGGAACTATTCATAACTCAATTTCGGTAAAAATGGCGCTTGTGATACTTTGCCGGGAAGGTGACGATTTACACACTCACTCAAGCACCCAGCGCCAAACCAGGCTTCACTTTTTTCCCGTGCTTTTAGATACGAGCACTCCGTCTTTATGTCTTTGGACTTTCCTGAAATTTTCATGCCCGTATATAATATGTTGCCCCCACGGCAGTGTTGCCAATTTGCAGACTCCAAAATATCAAATACGATGATAAAA